TTGTTCACTGGAAGATTGAACAGTATGCGAGCAGCAAGAACGCTATGCATACAATCTTGGGTCTAAATGAAGGGATGAACTTCAACGATATAAATATACATGGATGATCGACCAGACTAACGCGTTTAGCATCTCGCTGTAAGAGAGCTAGGAGTCTACTCAATTCTTCAAAATCAACTTAACAAAGAAAGAACTTACAGGTAGGACGCTGATTACGATCACATTGGCTGATGATATCACTATAGAGATGTCAGTACAAAATCAACAACTTAATGGTGTTCATACTTGTGATGCAGAACATGTAGAGCAGTCCATCACGATAGATACTCCTCATCAGTGTACTATGAGAACCAAGATAATGTCGATATCTCAGATATGCGGTGGTGGACATAAGAACTATAAGTGAATTGTCAAGTAAGGAACTTTTGAATGAATGATTGCCTCACCGATCTCAAGGCACGCTAAGAGTCCATACGGAAGAGCACTATGACGACTCCCCTCGAACGCGCAAGGTGGGGAGCCTGAAAAATGAATGAATAAATACTACATATGACTAGGACATGAACCTTGAGACCTCACCTGCCATGTTCCAATTGATAGGGCAGCGCTTATAATCACAGCCATCACCAAGATGGTCTGCGCCACACAAGTCAGTGGTGCTTGAGGGAAATAGAGATATCATTGTACCGAAGCAAAACAGAGGAGAACGATCAGGTAAGTGTTGTTATTGCCAGAAAAGCCGTATATTCTGGCAATCAACAATCCTGTGTTTGAATGTAGTTTCATACCGTGACGTCGTATAAAAAAGCTAACCTTCCGAGGCAATGATTCCTAGGAAATGCATACCTGCAAAATGTTATTGCAAATCCGTGTGATGAAAATCGTCTGAACCAACCATTTGTAGCATTATTAATGGCACACACTACATTGACGTGAGTTGTAGTGGGGGGTAATTGTCCACTGCACAGATCGAAGATATACTCACATTTTGCGTGCCCCATGTCTTAATAGCGGCTAGTCAAGAATAAGCTTTTGTGTAGTAGTGCGCACTGGAGTAAGTATCTCACTGTACGAGGTCATGATTGCACCAGCAAAAGGCACATATCGCGAAACCATGAAGGTAGTGCGAACGATCCCCCACTTCCGTCCCAAAGACCACTGGACCTACAAGAAAGATCAGCACCAAGGTATGGTAGGTCTATTTTTGCTGACTTCAGAGGTGTAACGTGACAAAGTAGTCATAAGCCTGGTGATAATCAATTATCATCGATGAGATTGAAACAGCACAACTTACTAGGACTGCTAACGCGGCGACTAAAGTTGAGTCGTGAATAACGATGAACGTTGTCATCAACCTGACCTTACCGTTAGTGTACTTCGTTAACGAGAGACATTAGAGAAGGGTTGCAGACAAAGCACGACTGAATTACCTTTACTAGCTGCAAACTGAAGGTGTCTGGGACTGACATATTTCTTGTGACCCAACGTGTGAATAAATGCAGCGAGCAGTTGAAGATAAGTACTAGTACATACTGTAGTATGCGCAGCAATACGGCCGTGATTGCAGTGTGTGACTTGGATCTAGCAGATTCGGCGGAGGGTGCCTTGCTCGTGATGTATGGATCATGATGGTTGCAGTGTGTAATTGGAGCACAGGATGCATGATGGAAGGAGGTTGTGGCTCAAGCGCTCATATTCTGGTACACATGGTTGACATCATATGGTAAGTCTGCCTGTCGAGACTTTGATCGTGATGTGTACTAACGTACTAGGGCTAGCGGCAAGCAAAAGTTAATTCTAACTCCGACAGGCGAGCCTCATCATGATGATCATTCGGTCTAAAATTGACTTGATTCTGTCGAACACCAAATTTCAAACCTCCAATGCGGCTTCATTCTCTTCAGTAACTAGTTACTACAGTTCTAACCCAAAAACCAATCTGCATTTGAGTTGCAATAGGCTTTCAGGCACTTGGGAGTTACTTCAGAGACCCTATGTCTCCTCATGTGCCCATTCTCCAGATCTAAAGCTATGCGGGAAGTCGGCTTCGATTAATGGAACTTAGTTCTGGGAGGTGTGCATGATTATTTATAAGTTGGTGCGTTGATCCTCCGTGGTACAATGTTCTCACGTACTTCCATTCTTTCTTTTTGTCATCTTTGCTATCATCAATTGATGGCCTAGTTGCTATTTCTCTCACTTAAGATCTGTCGTTGCATGATATCAGATATCAGATATATGCATCCTCTCTGTTGGATGTTTACTTACTGCTGTACCCGCTGCAGTTTCATCGCATCCCTAGCAATGCGTGCCAGAATTGTATGAAAATGAGCGCATACAGGTAAATTGTGAGTCACTCATTGACAATCTGCCTGCCTCGCTCTCCCTCGAATAGCATCATTCAACTTATCTCTGACCATACCCTGGTTAATGATTCAGATCTCGGAGTCTTTACACAGAGACACTGCCCCGCTCTTGTCGGTTGGAATGTTCATGTGGAAGCGCTCCTTGACGAGCATCGCCATATCCAATTACTTATGTGGAACCACCCATGACCCAGGGTCTTAACATGGATAATACACAGGTGTTAAAGGCAGTTCTTCTGTGGTAATGAATTGATGGACACGGATTCGGCCATTTCGGAGTCGCGCAATTCGCCGAATTCGCCGAGCGGTCGTCTCTCAAGCAAAGAGATGCTCATCAAATCGCTGGTTCGTTTAACTGTCATGTGTTGCTGGTGTCGAGCTAAACAATCACTGCAGCACTGGTAGTCACGGCGTTCGTGCTATGAAATACACTTGAGAGTTGGACTATATGATCATTGTTAATGTTCGCTACCACGAGCAAGGCAGTGTGATTCATCGCAAGATCTGATGCTGTTTGTCTGATGCTCTATACCTCAGCACGTTGTATCACTTGGCCATATCAATGCCAGCCGCCATCTCATGTAAGACCGGTATCCATTTGCATTGATTGTCGCGATGCCAAACATTCCTCGATGGTGTACTCATCATGAGTTGGGAGAAAGGTGTTTAAAGAATTGAGGTGCGCATCATGCTGGTACAACTGGCTGAACAAATTGTGTGGGAAATTGATTGTTTCACTATTAGCCTGCTAAACATCTCGAATTTGCTGGTCCTGCTGGGCTTCTTGCTCATTCTACCGGAAGCCTTTGTCCTCTCTGCCACTAGACTTACTCGTGGGTTTCCTGGGAAACCGAGAAGACCACTCCTTGACTATCATTTCTTCCACTGATAGTCGGTATTGTGACAAGTCGCATCCCGCAGCAAGTGAAGCTATACTCGTTACGTATGGCTTCATTCATTCTACTCTAGCTATTTCTTGATTTGCAGATCTTCCTATCTTCTTCCGGTCACTCCAGATACAAAAGTGGGTGAATTGAATAACAACGACAGTCTGATATGGGATGGGTGTCGAACTGCCAAGTGAGACACAAACCAAAGAAAAATATTATCAGCGAGCCAGTTGGTGATCGGGGCATCTGGGCTGCGCTGGAATGAGCGAATAGCTTCAGACGACTTGATCGCGACCTATATATATTATGGTTTCTCTTAGGGAGTTTGGGCACCTCGGAATGGAACACTTGACTTATTGAGGCACTTGCGGAGGATGACAACTTTATATTTACAATCGTTTAAAAAAGTGGGCCAGTCACGTTCACTTCCGTAATGAAATGCAGAAATGTGAAATGAAGCATGAAGGCGCAAGCGAATATGGGTGTCATAACAATGGTGCCTCTAGTCATAGAAAACCAACGCCCTAAGCTCGATGGACTCCCTGAGCGGCACTCCCTGCGGTGCCGAGGGATCCTTGAACCCAGTATGTGGGGTGAACCTAGCAATGTTATCGCCCTTAGCCGAATCGTAGCTGTGGGCAAGGTAAGCGCATCATTACAGACCAAAAACATAATGGATAATGAGCGAACCATTTGATCAAGACTACTTCATCCGGTTTCATACCTCTTTGGTACTTCCACCTATGTGTCGGGTTAGATTTGACCCCAAAAGTCTCGCCCTCACGATCCGGATAGATTAATGCGAGAGGAACGAGATCTTTCTTTGCGTCGACAGTCCTGTAATCACACAACGCCAATGGATGGTCGACTGCGGGGTGAGAAATGGGTCGCCAAAGGTTGATGATCTGGAAACGCTTTTTGACCAGCTTCTCCGCTTCGCCGACAGGCAAATGACGATGCACACGAGCGGTAGCCGACTCAGGAGTTTGGTCTACATGAACTTGATTAACAGGCTGTCGCTTTGTTTCGTCCGATTCCACGTCTCCAGGGCGGTGGCGTCTAACCGCTAAGATGCAACAAAAGTCAGATAATCGAGTATGATGCGCCCGTTTCACACGTACTGTGGTCAAAAAGGACGACTTTGCTTGCCCCCGTGATGTCCTTGAGAAGTTCAATGCTCTCTGGATAGTATTCTCCTCTGATCTCTTCGTCATTGATAAAGGCACTGTGTTTGGAGGGCTTCGTGACGTATTGAAAGCCTGCAGTATCCAAGGTGTAGTCACTTTCTTTGCCCCTGACGTTCTCAATCTCGACGGTATGCACCTCTTGCTCCCAATTACGCGCACGCTGGCCTGTCGCCGGATCAGCATTTATAGTGGTGAATGGGCGGGACCCGTCAGGGGGCGGAGTAAAGTACACGAGTTCTGCAGAGACTGTAGGCATTGTTAGCCAGAAAAATGGGTTTTCATTTGATTAATTTTTCCTCTTTTATGTTTCTATTCCACGATGACGTGCCAGGCTGACAAACGCAAGGATTGCAATTGCAATGGATAGGGGAAGAACAGTCGACCATTTGACCACAATTGCATGATAACTCGTCACGAAGACTCTGGAACGTGACTAGACCTAGGTGTCTGTGCTTGCTCTTTCTTTCGTGACGGGGGATTCGATTCCACAGGGACGATGGCTCTTGCCGCAGCTCTCCCAGACTCCAGAGTGGCATTTGTTCGTAGTCTTTACCGACTCAGATGACTGGTGGCAATGCCCCGAGTCGTCCGGCCACTGTCGACTGTCGCTCACTTCGTTTTCCCGTTGGAAGTTGACCACCGATCACTCTATCTGGATCATAAGCACCAATATGAGGAATAGGGCTCCGTGAAAAACTACCCACGGAGTTAACGACGAGTTTTTAACTCACCCCCACCCTCGAGGGGTTTTTGACACGAGTTAAAAACTAGTTTTTGACCAGTTTTTGACAGACTCAAAAAATGCGTTTTTTCAGGTCATTTTGACATTTTTTCGCTACGGTAATGCAAATGCCCACTGTACAGGCCCTCCCGGAGGCGTTGGAACTGTGCTATCCTGTAGTTGAGGTGTCCTGCTTGCCCCTTCCACCGGCTTCTCTGATAGTAAGTCCCGGCATCAATATCGAGTGCCTCGGAGTCACCTTTGGCATTTTCGGTGTTGGTAGTAGAACTCGGAACCTCATATGATGTGTCAGTGAATATTATTTTATATATGTATTCCTCACTGCTTGCTTTGCACACTCATTGTGATAAATGGTGGTCCGCCACAGATCATGAACCCATTTTCGAAGCAGCACGGAATCAGGAAACTCGTTGAGGGCAGCCGTTAGGACATCAACGACTGCAACAAGACCTGGCCCACGCTCTTGAAACTCGAACGGACACGGTGCTGACTCATCCTTCCGGCCTCTGGGTGCAAATGTGACCTCGAGCACATTATTCAGTGCGGCTTCGTACTGCATAGAGTTCGACCCTCTCTGGATCTGGAGCATAGTGCTCAAAATTATATTTGGAGTTTCCGAGGGGGATACTATGTGAAGTTGTGCTAGTGCCTTTCGGAGGTGGCTCCACTGTGCGTTATTGCGCCCAATGTCCTCGAGAAGCTCATCAAGGTAAATTTTTGTTGCAATCATTGAGCCGATTCAGCCGAACGCTCAATTGGACGGTAGTTGACAGATCGTCGGTCATATCTTAACGACTTTTCGGTGATTTCGGATGTTCGGATGGAGAATTCGATAGGCTATGTTCCCGAGATCATATACATATATATTTTAGTTTTTGACACCCCAATATCAACCCCGAGTTATCGACTCGTTAAAAAACACGTTAAAAACCTGTCAAAAACTCCAACGCACGGAGCCCTAATGAGGAAGGCGTAGACCTTGGACAACTTTGAAATAGGTCACGTGCCTCCAGCGTGTGGCCGGGGAAGCTTCATAATTGTAATTGGGCAGCCTCGTCATTATAGGCAGCTTCGTCAAATATCGGCTGTTTTTTGAACTCCGCTGGCCTCCATACACGTGACGTGGAAGGTGACAACCACTACTGCGCAATTGCCAATGAGACATCTTCTGGAAATTGATACTCATTCTTGTCTGATAGTACGTGGTACCTACAACCTTGATGCACTTGGTTAAAATATCGTGGTCACCTGCCAGCACAGCACCTCTTAAATTCTAGTCTTCATCTGACAATCACAACGACATCAAGTT